ATTTTAAATTACGCTCAGTGCTCAAAGAACCTGGAACCCGGCGCTTGTTCTGCGGGCACAGTCCAGAGCTGCGCAGGAAATGTTTGTCAGATGCAGGAGTTCTCTGGTGACTCTGCAGCTGTCGTTGAATTTCAACAGTTAAGGTCCTAGCTCCCCTCCCCTATTTTTGAAATGTGTGTGCATTTTTGCTGCCAAAAAGTTTTTAATATGCATGGAGCGTAGAGTCTGGTATTGGAGACGATTGGGTCACAGTTTGAATCAGAAGCAGCATATACTGCCGATGTGTTCCATTTTGGAAAAACAAACTGTAAAGTGCACACATACACAGCTACCGTCCTAATTTCATGTGTTTGAGAGCTTAATTCCTCCCTGCTGCAAAAGCTATAGGGTCTTTCCCTGAAATACAGCCCTCTTTCTCCAGAGCAAGAGAGCTGATTGTTTGCATGGAAGAGAATTTTCTCCTCACTTTCACAACTGCACATCCCCGTGGATTTGCTTCCCGAGCCCTCTGCCCATCCTACACTGCCCACAGCGGGGCTCCCCTGTTGCCGTAGAAATAGCCAGGATAAACTTCCAATATAACTTGTCGAGGATGAGTTTCTGAGTCAGCCGTTTGCATTCCGTGTGTGTTTTCGGTGAAACCGTCTGGCTGCTGCGTGCCCCTTTCATTAAGAGTAAAGCACGTCTCTTCAAAGGCAGGCAGGATGGTGCCTCCCCTGCACTGAAATGGAGAGTTCCGCCTACGCAAAGGTTCCTTCCCTGTAGCGTGTGGAAATAGGAAGGTAACCCACAGACAGATATTAGTATTTCTCTTTAATTGACCTCTGTTTTGGTAAATGTGGCCTCTGAGCTTTTTAGGAAGAGTCGACTTCTGTCTCCATTTCTGCAAACCACAACTTGGCTTTCAGGAAACGTAGCACTAGATACTTTTCCTGTAACTGGTCAGCAGCTCATCATTAAATAAAATTGGTGGTTTGTGATCACGCCAGTCTTACTCTTCAAAAATCCTTAGTTAAAGGAGCGGAAGGAAGAAGGAAATAAGTAGATTAAAAAAAAGAAAATGTTTAAATTTGTGAAGTGTTTGGTAGGAGAGACACTCAAAACATTTTATTATGTTCTAGCATATAATGAGCTTTTAATTCTTATGTCACTCATCATTTTTATCTTTAACTCAAAGGCTTTCTTAGCCATGATTCTCCTCTGAACCAGAGTACAGAAACAACCGGAGTGGTTTCTCAGTGCTCCCAAGGGTGTTAATATCACAACTGTAATGTCTGAAATCATGCTCAGGCCGTACCATATTTGCCTGTGGTGGTTTCATGGATGCTGGCAGAGGACGTGGGACTCCCGGTCAGAGCCAGAAGACTCTACTCCTCACAGCAGCAGCCTGGTATCACTGTGCTGACAGTCAGAACATCACTTCTCCAGGTCCCTGATTTCCCAGAGTGATACCCCTGGGCCAGGTAACACCTGCAGGTGGAGTGTTACAGGAGAAGAACCCAGAGTTTAGAAAACCCAGATTTCTTGAGATAGGCAGTAAAATCTGCTCTTTGCTCCAAGTGAGACACAACCATCTCTTCTAAAGCTGTTTGCTCTGCAAACATCCTTGAGAAAGTAATCCAGGACAAAGGCAGCCGGTGCCTCTGCTCACGATAATGCGCAGAAACTCGAGAGACCCAACACAGAGGTAGCTAGGACCATTCCAGATGTGTGGGAGAGGTGTCCATTCATTATGAACGTGGGCACCCTAGGGCTGAGTTCTCTCCCAGGCCTACGTTGAGGAAAACTGCTAGACCTTTGCTTTGGGCTGCCATTTCCAAAATACTTAGTCTTCCTTTTTAAATCAAAGAAGGAAAAGAGAATATAAGATTTTCCTGGTAAAAGTAATATTTTCTTCTCCTGCTTTTTGAGAAAATGTAAGTATGCTATCTTAAAGATATAAATTGTTTTAAAAAATGTTGTTCCTTATTCTCTCTCTCTCTCTCTCTCTCTCTCTCACACACACACACACACACACACTCTCACTCTCACTCTCACTCTCACACACTTCCCAAATTCTGGAAAGTAGAGGATGTTTCTATAAAGAAGCTCATGTTTATGGTTACTTGCCTTCAAAAAATATGGACAGTTTGCTTTTGGGAGACACCTGTGAAATATGCCATCATCCGACCTCTACTAGTTACTGGTTGAGGTGAGAATGCATTTTTAGGTCTGGAGTGCATTTATTCAACCACTTCTTGCCTCATCCCAGTCCTGTCCAGTGGAGGAAGCCTGGGGAAAGTTTCTTGTATCCACGCAGCTACTCTGTTCTGCTTCCCAGACTTCGCTTTGCTGCGTGGGCCTGCTCTTCCCCGGGACTTCCGGTTCTCCACGGGACTCCTGACGCCTCATTTTCAGGGACAGTTTCCAGACTTGTGCTTCCCTCCGTGCTACGAATCTTCCAGCCTGCAGTATTTGTGCTCATATGGGATTCTGAAATCCAGAGGAGAAGTACTAGCTGAGGCTTCTGAGATATTGTTGGGGGAAAACTCAGGAACTCAAGTACAGAAATTGACGTCTTAAGCGGGAGATCAGACGGGTTATCCCGGGTGAATCGGTCAGTGCTGGATCATGTAACATATATGTTGAACAAGAAGAGAAAGCTCACAGAAAAAAAAAAATAAGGCCAAGGTTGGGAACTTGACCCTGGAAAAAGATTGCTGATTCTGAGTTCTGCTTTGGGACAGGATGGAGAAAGCCCAGCTAAAGGACAGGCCCTTACCATCTGCATCTGCTGTTCCAACAATTCTTTGACTTTCCAAAAGTGATATTTCCCCTTTATAAAAAAACCGGAAACACCTTCTTTTCAAAGAAGGATGCGGGGATTAAGTAGATAATAGCAATATAAAATTTATGATCTGTATTTTTAAAGAGCCTTATACATCGAGTCGCATTGTTACTCCATCTTCATCCTGTAGCTGTCACCCTCCTCAGCGGATGGACGGCCATCCTTTAATCGCATGACTGTTCATGACTGGACAGAGTGGACGGGGTGTAGTAAAATGTCTCATCTTCCACCACCACCACCCTCCGAGCACCTCGAGTATATTGCTGGGAGATAAAATGGCAATTGTTTGGCTAACGGGGGGTCTTAAATTCTCTGTCAGAGCTTGGGCTCATCCCTTCCTCTCTCTTCCTGATTAGTCAGACCCCATTTAAGTTTCATTTTCGGATAAAAAGTAGAGTGTCTTTTGCTGCTGGTGATACAGATCACTTTGAGATTTATGGTTTTCTTTGCTGGGTATGAAATAGGTTTTATGACTTCTAAATGAATGGCTGGCTAGGGGGATTATAAATAAGTTGTTCAAAGAATAATGTTCTTTATAAGTATGTTCCCTCACCCCTTTTCTGATCAAAGGATAGGAAACCTTCTATGTACTAAATATCTATCAAGTCGGTAGTATAATATTTCAGATACCTGGTCTAGAAAATCCAGTTTTAGCTTTAGAACATCTGAATTGTCGCTTGAATGTTGGTTGAAGTCTTCGTGTGCTTAGCACTCTGCCAGGCCATGTGAAGTCTACACAGTGAGCTCAAGACCTGCTCTTGCCCCCAAAGCAAAAGAAATACCTGAAACCATCACAAAACAGCTCATGCCAACCTGCCCTCCTGTTCATTGGTGTGATGGATCTTCAGAGAAGGTCTTTGATTTAGGTCAAAGGGGAAATATTGAGGCGGGCTGCCCTGGAGCTGAGCTGTTTGGGGGGCAGATGAGAAAAGGCAGAGGAGTGGGGAGAGCCTGAGAGGTGAGGAGAAGCAGGAGGCCAAGCTCAGATGGGCACTCAGGGCAGCAGAGCTGCAGGTCAGCTGGCCAGGCCGCTGAGGGCGGGGGAGCCTCTGGAGGGCAGGTCGGGGCACACACTCATTCCGGGGGAGGCAGGCTGGGCAGGTGGCTGAGCATGGCCGACTGGGCTGGTGGAGTTGGGTGGATGGGCTGGGAAGCCACAGTGGAAACACTGCGTGAAGCAGTGAGGATGGGACGGTCTCCTGACAATGCCGAGAAGGTGGAGAAAAGAACGTCTTGGAAGCTCTTTGAAGTAAAAATGGACAGAGCCTGTGTTGTTAGTTCTGCTAGAGAAGGAAGAATCACAGGTAACGCTCAGGAATGTGGAAGGACAGGAAGCAGCTGCTCGTGGAAACTGGTTTAGCTGAAGAGGGCGCGTTTGCTTCTCGGTGTAGCAGACATTGAATACATATGTGCTGAAAACGTGATTGAATGAAACAAGAAGCTTTCCGCACTGTGCTTTAAAAGTTAGCTTCACAAACCATAGTCGCACGCCTCCAGTTCTGAAATAATTGAAGAATAATGTAATTCAAATCAACACATACTTTTTGAATTCACCCTTCATGGTTAGAGGCCCCTCCAGGAATCTGTTTACTGACCTTTTTACATTAACTTCTTTTTATTTGCAAATATTAGGGCATGTTCAGGTCACCAAAGATTTTTGCTGTTCTTTGTTTCCTTTAAATGCTAGACTGGTCCTCTGTACAGGGATCTTGATTCCCAGTGGCATTTTTTTTTTTTTTTTTTAATTTCTGAGTTGCTACATATATATGACCAGATGAAAGAGCTTTAAATATTCAAAGGGTACGTGCTGAATTTTTGGAGCTATAGGTCACTAGTTTGACTGCAGGTTCCTATGTCTTTCCTTATAAACAGAAAACATGAATACCACAAAAGTTCAAGCAGCTATTTAGGGCAGTTGGATTCTGGTGTCCTAATTAGTGAACTGATATGCTGCTATGTCGGACAAGACCAGATCTTCTCCACAAACCTGGAGAAGTACAATAAGGCATCTCTAGTTTGGGGCTGTGGCTGTTGGGGATACATACCTGGGAGGATCTGGCTATTGGGAGATGAGGGAGTGATCATCCTAGCTATTGAGGATTGGGGTACTGCATATTCGGTGTTCTAGAGCCTTCATACTATTAAATTATGTTCTTCAAACTTCTACCTTTAGCCCAAGCCAGACCCGATCATCGATGGTCCAGTGGCTTAACCCGCAGTCTCCGACCACCCTGAGCATTTGCAACCCAGCTGTCCCACCGTCTTCACCCAAGTCGTCAGCTTTCTCCTTCTCTCTTCCTGCCACTGGAGCGGACAAGGCCCCTGAAAGGTGCGTGGCTTGGAACACGATGTCGGGGACAGCAGCGACACGTGGAAGGGGCTGCGTCAGGCCGAGCAGGTTCCCACGCTCTCTGCTGGGGTGGGCTGCTCAGGTCCATCCGGCCCCCCGGACAGCATTGCAGCCTCATTTCAGGGCTGTGCCTCGGTTCAGGAGCAAGTCTGTTCTCAGGGGAGATCCACCTCATGTGAGACCTGCTCAAACCGACTCTTTTTGGTGTGGATTATGAATTTATGAAACTACCTATTTTGGAAGAATTTCTTGAACATGAATATAAAGCACATGCTTTGTTTTAAAACAAAGGTCAGCTGGACACTGAAACCAGTAATTTACATGGCCAGTTAGGGCAGAGGCCAGGAGTGCTGGCCCTTAGCAGGCCCTTCCTCCGGGGTGGTGTGCTGAAGCCCCCTGTCATCATTGGCTTCCCCCACCCAGTCCACAGAGGTGAGGCACTTCCCTCTGCTTCAGTTTGCGTCTGGCTCGCAGCGCGGTTTCTG